AAAAAAAATTTCCAATCATATACAGATGTTGTTGTTGTTGCTATTAGGTGCCATTGAGTCAATACTGACCCATAGTGATCTTATGCACAGCAGAACGAAACACTGCTTGATCCTGGGCCAACCTCACCACTGTTGCCACCTTGAGTCCATCAATGCTGCCACTTGTCCAATACATCTCACTGGACGGCTTCCTCTTTTTCTCTGACTCTCCACCTTACCAAGCATGATATCCTTCTTTAGCGACTGATCCTTCCTGACAATATGTCCAAAGTATGAGATATGAACTTTGGCCATCTTAGACTCTAAGAAACATTCTGGCTGCACTTCTTCCAAAATGGATCTATTGGTTCTTTTGGCAGCCCATGGCACTTTCAATATTCTCATCCAATAGCACAACTCAAAAGTATCAATTATTCTCCGGTCTTCCTTATTCACTGTCCAGCTTTCACATGCATATGAGGCTATTGAAAATACCATGGCTTGGATCAGGCGATCCTTCGTCCGCAAGCTAACATCTTTGCTCTTTCAGCACTTTAAAAAGGTCTTGTGTAGTAGATTTGACTAATTCAATATGTCATCTGATCTCTTGACTGCTGCTTCCATGAGTGTTGATAGTTGATCCAAGAAGAATGAAACCTTTGATAGCAGCAATCTTTTTTTCCATTGATAAGAATGTTGTTTATTGGCCCAATGGTGAGGATTTTTGTTTTTTTTACAATTGAAATGTAATCCATACTGAAGGCTGTGCTCTTTGATTTTAATCAGTAAATATTTTAAGTCCTCTTCACTTTCAGCAAGCAAGGTTGTATCATCTTCATATCGCAGGTTGTTAATGAATCTTCCTCTAATCCTGATGCCACATTTTTCTTCATGGAACCCAGCTTCTCGGATTATTTGCTCAGCATACAGGTTGAAAAAGTATGGTGAAAGAATACAATCTTGTCGCACACCCTTTTAAATTTGAAACCCATTCAATGTTCCCATGTTCTGTTCAAACAACTGCTTCTTGATCCAGGTACAGATTCCTCATGAGCACAATTAAGTGTTCTGGAACACTCATACTTCGCAATTTACAGATATATACAGATGTTGTTGTTGTTGTTGTTAAGTGCCGTCGAGTCGGGTCCGACCCAGAGCGACCCTGTACAGGGTTTCCGAGGGTGTAAATCCTTACGGGAGTAGAAAGCCTCATCTTTCTCCCGCGGAGCGGCTGGTAGTTTCGAACCGCTGACCTTAAGGTTCGCAGCCCGATTCGTAACCACTACGCTACCAGAGCTCCTTGATATATACAGATACTCAAGTATAATTCTGAATTTAGTATAAGAACATTTAGCAAGGTGACTAGATTTAACAATGTATAAAATGACTTAGCAATACATAAGAATCAATTATATTTCTCTATCCCAACATCAAAATACTTAAATTTAAACACAATACCAAAAAAGTGGTTATGTGTGTATATGCACACCAGTGAGAAAGACAGAGACAGAGAGTTATCTGTGAGGATCACTCATATGGATGCCTATGACCTACACGAAGCAGAGTTGCTGAAGCAACTTACATTATCAAAGTAATAAAGTCCCTGTTGAAGTGTGCTAGACCTAGAAGACCACTAGTGCTCATCGGTGAAAAAGGGCACATTGTTTTTAGATGCCGTAAAGTCATTTCAACTCATAGTGATCCATGTGACAGAGCAGATATCCCCTAGGTTTTTCTGCAATCATTGCTAAAGGTGCCATTGTTCTCTTGTAGGTGGGTTTGAACCACCAACCTTTCTGTTAATAGCCAAGCAGCTTAACCCTTGTGCCATCTAGGCTCTTTTGTGATACATTAAGTCAAAATATTTCTATAATGCCTATTCTTTTCTCTCTGTCATCTGCTAAAATTCCTAGAGAAGCTATATCTAGGGAAAAGCAGTTCCCATTGTGTTCCATTTCTATGTAATGAAGTGGAAAGTGTGGAATATTATGCAATTCCTTTTCCCAGTTTAATTCCTTCAAAACACTAGGCTGAAATAAAGTGAGAAAGAATATAACAACTAGAAAGTAATGGAATTTAATTATCTATCAGGAAAGGAGATTTTTAAAAAGTCATGTTTGAAAGTAGTAATTGTTGTTGTTGTTGTTATTGCCTCACATCTGTAAGGTCAAGGCTGCAACGTTCTGAAAAGCCATATTTATTCAGCTGAATGTTATGAATATAATCCTAATAGCTTTGGGCAGAGTGGGCATATAAAACAAAAACATTTATATTTGCTCCTCAATATAAACATACTTTGAAATGTATTATTGGTGCTGTTGGATAAGCAGCGAACTGACAAACACAAGCCTGGTTGTTCAAACCCAGCATCTGATTCACAGGAGAAAGTTGAGGCTGTCTTTTCCCATAATTTGCTGGACTGCAATGTTGGTTTGAACCACAAAGTCGGCAGTTGAAGCTTGCCATTCGCTCCTGGGAAACTCTATGCAGGGTTGCTATGAGTCAGAACCGATGTAACGACACTTAACAACAAAACTCTACATAGGGACACTGAAGTCAGAATTGATTTGATGGCAATGGATTTGTTTTATTGAATTGGGTATTATCATTCTATTTGCATCTACTTTCAGTTTAAATTTAAGACTGTTTTCTAAAATAGTTATTTCTCAGTTTTAATTCAGTAAATAATATTCACGTAGTGAATTATTTCCCACCTAATTATTTCCCACCTATTTGGTGGGTTTTTTCACCTATTTGGTGGGAAATAATTAGGTGGGAAATAATTCACTACGTGAATATTATTTACTGAATTAAAACTGAGAAATAACTATTTTAGAAAACAGTCTTAAATTTAAACTGAAAGTAGATGCAAATAGAATGATAATACCCAATTCAATAAAACAAATCCATTGCCATCAAATCAATTCTGACTTCAGTGTCCCTATGTAGAGTTTTGTTGTTAAGTGTCGTTACATCGGTTCTGACTCATAGCAACCCTGCATAGAGTTTCCCAGGAGCGAATGGCAAGCTTCAACTGCCGACTTTGTGGTTCAAACCAACATTGCAGTCCAGCAAATTATGGGAAAAGACAGCCTCAACTTTCTCCTGTGAATCAGATGCTGGGTTTGAACAACCAGGCTTGTGTTTGTCAGTTCGCTGCTTATCCAACAGCACCAATAATACATTTCAAAGTATGTTTATATTGAGGAGCAAATATAAATGTTTTTGTTTTATATGCCCACTCTGCCCAAAGCTATTAGGATTATATTCATAACATTCAGCTGAATAAATATGGCTTTTCAGAACGTTGCAGCCTTGACCTTACAGATGTGAGGCAAAGATGAAACAGCTTCAGACTATGAAGTCTTTGAATAGAGGACAATTTGACTGTCAGATGCACTTCCAATACTTGTAATTCAGACCATTTGCCAGACTAGTTAAGAAATTTTCTGGTTCATACCTATCTTAATCTACTTAATCTATACCTTGGAACAATTATATATTAGGTAAATGTGAAAAATGAATAGTTTAAGCTATTATACAATGCAGTTTACCCATTTTTCACATACCTGGGCCTTTGGAATTTTATGGTACAGTTGACTTGATACATTATCTTTCTTGATATATAACGAATAGTTTGCATTCTTATTCTTTACAGGATATATCATATGCTCAAATGTAACTGAAGTTTCTAGAGGTTCAATTCCATAACTGACATTCTCAAACTGTATTAACCCCCTGAAAACACCAACAACATAATTTTAAGTCACTGAAATGACAAATAGTGATATTAAAATCATTAAGGTCACTTTCAGTCATTTTCTTAGAGAACAAATTAGGAAGTACAGAGGAAGAGGGTTTACACAAATGTACTGAATGATAGAAAATTATAGTATTACTGACAATGACCCTGCTGTTAATGTGTCATGGTTTCTAGACAGTCCAGGATACTGCTGTCATCATAACATGCTTCCTCCTTCTCTACTTCCCCGTGACTAACAGTATTGCCTTAATATGTTAGACTCCACTCTAGAGACTCATGAGACTTATAAAATGAAAATTAAAAATCCAAATAAATGTTCCATTTTGTACTTAATAAAGTCAAAACCTCAGTCCAGTACAGGTGCTAATGGTCACCATGGAATTTGGAAAACCTTCAATATGACCTTGGTAGTTGCAGAGATTCTGGTGGGGGAAAAAAAAAGACACAATTTGTATATCTAAGAGTAGATTTTATGTATAACAATAGTTCTCATATCTCTAGGAGTTTCATATGCATGTGTGTATGTATGCATCTGTGTCCAATACTCCTTACTCATGATTTGTAAAGCATTGTTATGCCATTATTAGAGATCTACTGACTCAATTTTCAGTATATTTTATGGATTCAAAGTGAATGAGTAAATTTGTATTTCCCATTTTATTTTCTTTATAAAAGATGGCATTAGATGAGGGTGAAATGCATCAGAGCCATATTTTAAAAATACCTTCCTCTTAATTTTAAAAGAATTCAATTTTGCAATATTATATTCCTTTACCTCAATGTAACTAAATTAAAAATTAATATGAATCATTAAAAAAGATAATCCAAAAATATTAAATTGTATGAGTTGAAATACAAATGAAAGAATTAAACCTCCCTAGCCACAGAAGGGAATTTAGCACTACTTGTTCTATGCCAGTATCAGGTGCTTAAGTTGTTCTTGGGAATCAAGTACATTTGCCTTCAAATTCTTATACAATTTTAAATATGACAGCTACTTCATAGTGCTGTCAGGAAATATAATAATAGACAACGTTTGATACTAACTTGCCATAAATTAAAATAGAATTTGGTAAATTGTCATCATCATTAAATGACTTTTGTCCTTTACCAAATAATTAAGAGTTGTGAATAATTACAAAGCATGAAAAGTAAGATTAGTCATGTATGAAATGAACTGTTTTGTGTATTTGAGTATCTAAACTATTTCCTTGGGGGAAACTTCGAACAGGAAATGAGACAATGTCTAGGATTTATTCTGTTACTATCTTATCGTGTTATATTAATGGAGAGAAGGTTAAGACTCCACTTGACAATGACATAAGAGGCCCTTGAGCCTTATAACACACATATGGTTAAGGCATTGCCACCTACTTTGTGGTTTGCACTGGACTGCAAACCATGAGGTTGGCAATTCAAACCCACCAGCTGTTCACTGAAAACCCTATATAGGGTTACTATGAGTTGAAACCAACTCAACAACACTTGACAATAAACAACAACACCATATCTTCTAGAAAGTCCTTAGATTTCAAAATACTAGTGGTTTTACTAAGTAGAGGTAAGAAACTGGTACAAACAACAATTGGCAGGACTGAGAAGCTACTGATATTTCTAAAATCAGAATTCCTAACAAATCTTTCCAAAATCTTTATTTTTTCCTAAAATTGTATATTGCATTACATGGATCTCCAAATAGTATAAAACCTTTACTTTTTTATTTTTCATACATAGGCTGAATCATGAATGTTTGCTATTCTCTCCTTGAGTAATCTCCATATGTGACTTTGACTCCCTTTTCCTTCAGAGAATTGCTTTTTTACTGCTTAAAATTATTATTCTTTATTCTAATTATGAGCTTTAAAAGTTTATGCTTTATTGCCTCATAAGAATATAGAAATTTATCCTGAAATTGAAATCTTAAAACCATATAACCATGTATGACTGAACTGTGCTAGATTTACAGAATCTGTCTATTAAGGTGACTAACTCAAGGCATACCGTTAGCAATAAATGACTGCTGTCAAAAATGATGTTTATCTTTTTAAAATGCAAAACAAAATAAGGCAAAACTCTAAGCCTTTAAACACTAGTAGTATGTCATCCCTTTAAAAAAATATACAGATAAAGATCATAGATACTGCCAAGATAAAGTTGAAATACAGAAAAAAACAAAACAAAACACTCACCTGAAACTTTTGGATAAGAGGTTGCATAGTGTCTGAGTAATTGTAATCATAAACCCTAAAATTATGGGACAAAAAATTTCTATAAAGCAAAGAGATATTAAAATTAATAGGAGAAATGTCAAATTGTTGCTAAAGTTTCAGGATACAATTATTGTATTATATTCATCAGAATACATGAATTTCACTCAAAACTTAGCTTCAAAACTCTGGCCTGAAGAGTTCTTGTTCCACTCTTCTTGTACTATTTTACAAGCTATTTGTATAATGAAAAGCGGGTGTTCCTATGTAACACATTTACTCTTGAGGCTTCTTCTTTTAGGAATGCTATTCAACATAGTTCATTCCATGACCTAATATACTCAAATATTACTATTTCAGTTAGTTTTATTTTGACATTTAAAATTTAAAATCTCCTAACTCAACATATAGCAATCATCATCTTTTAACATTCTTCCCAATATACTTTTTCAATATCATTGTTGGTCACAAGCCACAAATTTTTAATTTCCCAAAATCATAGAGCTTTTCTTTTATTTTCTTTAGAATACATTCTAAGCACTTCAAATAATGTGACACTTAAAGCATTTGGGTATTTACTGAATTCTTTATACTTGCTAAATTCTTTTTCTAAGTAAAGTTAAAAACCCAAGAAACCCAACCTTATTGCATTTTAAAAAAATGTTTAATTGTGAATTATATGAGAGTTTACTTGAGAGAACTTTAGCTTTACATTCATTCTATCATATAGCATTTCATTGTCATGGTTCCAATC